AGAAAAACAATCAGTGTAATCCATCACATAAATAAAACAAAAGACAGGAACCACATGATCTTATCAATTGATGCAGAAAAGGCATTTAACAAAGTCCAACACCGATCATGATAAAAACTCATAATGAAATAGGAATAGAAGGGAAATTGACCGATATAATTAAGGGCATTTGTAGAAAGCCGACAGCCAACATCATCCTAAATGGAGAGACTTTGAAAGCATTCCCCTTGAGAATGGGAACCAGACAAGGATGCCCTTTAACACCACTCTTATTCAACATTGTGCTAGAGGTCCTAGCCAGAGCAATGAGGCTAGAAAAAGGAATAAAATGCATCCATACAGATAGGGAAGAAGTCAAATTATCTCTATTTGCAGATGATATGATCTTGTACACAGAAAACCCCAAAGAATCAACAAGAAAACTACTGGAACTAATAGAAGATTTCAGCAAAGTTTCAGGATACAACATAAACATACAAAAATCAGTTGGATACCTTTACAGCAACAAAGAGAACTTTGAAATGGAAATTACCAAATCAATACCGTTTACAATAGCCCTCAAGAAGATAAAATACTTAGGAATAAATCTAACCAGCTACGTAAAAGACCTATGCAATGAAAACTACAAGACACTATTGCAAGAAACCAGAAGAAACCTGTGTAAGTGGAGAAACATACCTTGCTCACTGATAGGAAGACCCAACATAGTGAAAATGTCAGTTCTACCCAAAGCGATCTACAGATACAATGCAATCCGTATCCAAATTTCACTGGCATTTGTTAACGAGATGGAGAAACAATCACAGCTTCATATGGAAAAGGAAGAGGCCCCGAATAAGTAAAGCATTACTCAAGAAGAAGAATAAAGTGGGAGGCCTCACACCACCTGATTTTAGCACCTGTTATACTGCCACAGTAGTCAAAACAGCCTGGTACTGGTACAACAACAGATACATAGACCAATGGAGCAGAATTGAGAATTGAAACATAAATTCATCCACCTACAAGCAGCTGATATTTGACAAAGGTCCAAAGTCCATTAACTGGGGAAAACACAGTCTCTTTAACAAACATTGCTGGCATAACGATATCCATCTGCAAAAAAACTGAAAACAGACCCATACCTCACACCATGCACAAAAACTAACTCAAAATGGATCAAAGACTTAAATAGAAAATCGAAAATGATAAAGATCATGGAACAAAAATTAGGGATAATGCTTGGAGCCCTAATACATGGCATAAACACAGTATGAACCATAAGTAACAATGCACAAGCACCAGAAGAGAGACTAGACAATTGGGAGCTCCTAAAAATCAAACACTTATGCTCATCAAAAAACTTCACCAAAAGAGTAAAAAGACAACCTACAGACTGGGAAAAAAAATTTTGGGCTACGAAAAATCCAATCAGCTTCTAATCTCTAAAATCTACAAGATACTGAAAAACCTCAACAACAATAAGAAAAATAGCCCAATTAAAAAATGGGCAAAGGATATGAATAGGCACTTCACCAAAGAAGATATTCAGGTGGCTAACAGACAAATGAAGAAATGCTCACGATCATTAGCCATTAGAGAAATGCAGATCAAAACTACACTGAGATATCATCTCACCCCAACAAGGCTAGCATTAATCCAAAAAACACAAAATAATAAATGCTGGAGAGGTTGTGGAGAGACTGGAACACTTATACACTGTTCATGGGAATGTAACATGGTACAACTACTTTGGAAATCAATTTGGTGCTTCCTTAAAAAACTAGAAATAGAAGTACCATAAGATCCAGCTATCCCACTTCTTGGAATATATCCTAGAGAAATAATAGCCATCAAATGAATAGATATATGCACAACCATGTTCTTTGTAGCACTGTTCACAATAGCAAAAAGAAAGAAACAACCTAGGTGTCCATCAACAGATGAATGGATAAACAAATTATGGTACATCCACACAATGGAATACTACACAACGATAAAGAAAAATGATGAAGCCGTGAAACATAACATGGAGGTAGCTGAAGTCATGCTTAGTGAATTTAGTCAGTCACAGAGGGACAAATACTGTATAAGACCACTATTATAAGAACTCAAGAAAAGGTTTAAACACGGAAGAAAAGATTCTTTGATGGTTATGGGGGTGGGGAGGGAGGGTGAGGGTTATTCACTAACTAGATAGTAGATAGGAATCATCTCAGGTGAAGGGAAGGACAGCACACACTACAGGGGAAGTCAGCACAACTGGACTAAACCAGTGCTAAGAAGTTTCCTCAATACAATCAAATACTTCGAGAGACAGAGTAGCAGCGACGCAGGGTCTGGGGATCATGCTTTCAGGGGACACCTATGTCAATTGGCATAACAAAGCTTATTAAGAAAATGTTCTGCATCCTACTTTGGTGACTGGCATCTGGGGTCTTAACAGCTTGCAAGCAGCCATCTAAGATGCATCAACTGGTCCCATCCACCTGGACTAAAGGAGAATGAAGAACACCAAAGACACAACCAAAGTATTAGCCCAAGAGACAGAAAGGGCCACATAAACCAGAGTCTTCAATAGCCTGACACCAGAAGAAGTAGATGGTGCCCAGCTACCACCAATGAATGTCCTGACAGGGAATACAACAGAGAGTCCCTGATGGAGCAGGAGAAAGGTGGGGTGCAGAACTCAAATTCTAGTAAGAAGACCAGACTTAATGGTCTGACTGAGACTGGAGGAACCCTGGAAAGCATGGTCCCTGGATTCTCTATCAGCCCAGAACTAAAACAATTTCTGAGGCCAACTCTTCAGACAGGGACTGGAGTGGACTGTGGGACATAAAAATGATACTCATGAGGAGTGTGCCTCTCAGCTCAAGTAGGTACAAGAGACTAAATGGGCAGCTTTTGTCCGGAGGTGAGATGGGAAGGCAGAGAGGGTTAGGAGCTGGTTGAATGGACTTTGAGAATCAGGGGTGGAAAGGAGGAGCGTGATGTCGCAGTATGGGGTGAGCAGTTAGGGTCACATAACAATGTATGTATAAATTTTTGCATGGGAAATTAACTTGAAATGTAAACTTCATTTAAACTACAACAATAAACAAAAAAATAAAAATTAAAAAAAAAAAAGAAATGCTGGATGCATTTAATTACGATCTGTATATTTCTCCGTGACCTTTAGAGAGTGTTTTATTTTAAATCCAAAATAAATTTATTTACTATTTAAAAAACAAAAGTTAACCTAGAGGATTTGGCATCGTAAACAAGTGTCACCTCTACTAGCCCTGTCCCAGTTCCCTTTTAACTTAAGAAGTTGTTTTATTCTTACAGTTTCTGGTAGTTGAGAATTCACTGTAATAGAAATGCATTAATACAAGCGGGATTTGCCTAGGCATCAATAAACTCGAAAGGCTCCCGGCAGGCCACGTGTAGTGTCAATAAAGCCTTCTAATTACTTGTCCCTTGGAGCATTTTAGACCTAACCCCTTAGTTTCCTCTGCAGTGGGGACTCTGCTCAAGAACTTGTAAGTTCTTAACTTCCTAAACCCTAGGCAAAGAATGGCAAACACTGATGGAGACCTAGGGTTTCTTAACCAAAGGTAGTGGTATCCTAGTTGCTATTTTAATCTGTGTAGTAACTCTGAATACCCCTGCTAGTTGTGGATTGGTTTTGGGCCTCACCATTTCCGGGTGTTGGGAGGTGTAAACTCCCTGGGCCAAGGGTGGCTGACCGCCTAAACCACTGCCCAAAATGAAGGAACCAGGAATTCAAGGGAGGCTCTGCGGGGGGCGGGGAAGCTTGAGACCCTCACGTGTGGAAGGGGGAAATCCTGGCTTCCAGGCACTGTCTCATGCTAGGGGTGCCTCCCCACCTACTCCCACCAGCCTGTAGTAAAGAGCAGAACAGAGTCGGTATAACAAAGGGCCCAGTAAAAGTCCCTCTGAGTGAGGGTGGGGACCAAAGAATGGTGGAGAAGTTAACTCAGACTGTAGTCTAGAACTCAGAACTGGAAAAGAGCTCAGGCCAGGCCATTGGCTTTCTGATGCAATAGAAGAAAATCGGTAGGAGCGAGGAGTGGTTGAAAATCTGGGCCGAATACGTATTATTGAGACTTTTGGAGAGGCGCTTTCTCCTCCTCCTTTCTTTCCTCTTTCTACCTTACTTCCTTTGCATGTGAGTGTGTGGGCGGGCTTGCTTTTAAAGTGAGGTCGGCGGTAGCTGCCTTTTTTTCTTCCAAATCCTCTTTATCGCCAATGAGCTTTGAGTGGGATTAGAGTTACCTTGATTTGGCGTGAGGAGTTTCCAAATGGCAATGAAAGAAAGTCACATAAATAGCCATGAAGTTCCCAGTGACACCTTTGTCGTCGCTTATTTCCTGCAGCGAGGCGAGGTTATCACCCACTATTCACTTTAGGTGTATGGCCGGCTGATCGGTTCACACATGTAATTTCAGATTAGCTGTGCACAGAACACAAAACGTCCTCCGCCTCTTAAACTCGCCCTCTCCCGTTTCACTCTACTTTGGAGGGTGTGCGTAGCGTGGGCGTGCTTGTGTGAGCGCGTGTGTTTGTTTAGCAAAGGCGCTTGGAAGAAGCTACCCCTTCAGCTCGTCACCCACAGCTCTATCCGAAGCGTTCCTTGGACAGGACGTGTCTCTAATCTGTCCCCAGCCAAGATGTCATCTCCACGCTGATGTGGACAGAGCATCTCGGCGCTCCTGGGTTAAGGGAGCTGGAGCTTTGGTGTCCCGGGAGGGCGGCCTGACCCCCTGGAGCGCTGGGCTCTCGAAGGGATATGCGCGCTCTGGTGAGTGCGAGTGTGTGCGTGAGTGGATATGTGCGTGTGTGTGTATAAGTATGGGTACGACAGTGTGCTTCCTCTTCTGGCACTGTGCAGGCAGCGGCCCGCAACGCGAGGCAACAGCAGCCTCCGCCCCCTCAGTCCAGCGATTGGCTGGTTTTGCTCATCATTTGCCTGCTAGGAAGAGGGAAGGGCCAGTGACGCCCCCGAGCCCAGCTGCAGAAGCGGCCACCACCTCCTAAGCTCAAGGTAGCTCATCTGAAAAGAAACCTGAGCCCCAGGGAGGCGGCACTGAGCGACCTGGGCAGGGCAGGAGCGGCCTGAGCGGGCGGGCACTAGTCAGCGCGTGAGGACCCGGGCGAGCTCGGCCGCCGCGGACCCTCTCGACTTGCTCCTGAGATCCGGCTCCACTCTCTCTTCGCATTTTACAGATTTACCCCCGCGACTGTATCTCCCCAAAACGGAGCCTTTATTTCCAGAGAAGGTGTGGGAGCTGGAGCCACCAGGACTTTCCCGGGCACCCAAGATGCGCTCCATCAGGAAGAGGTGGACTATCTGCACGATAAGTCTGCTCCTGATCTTTTATAAGACAAAAGAAATAGCAAGAACTGAGGAGCACCAGGAAACGCAACTCATTGGGTAAATGCAAAGCTTCATTTCAGGATATGACAAAAAGTCAAGCCATGAATGAAATGAGAATATAGAGGGTAGAGTAAGGGTTGGGGTAGTGTGTTTGTGTCCGCGCTTGTGTGTGCTTAGTCTATGAATTAAATAACAAAGGCTGTTGCTGAGGTGTGTGTGCTTCTCCACGCCTTTTCCAGTAAGAGTTCAACTTGACCAGTGCGGTAGTTGCGACAGTTGTATTGGCGTCGAGGGAACGCTAAGCCAAAGGAGAAGTCATTGCAGAAGTGTCAACAAAGAACGTGTGCCCTTGTCCTTTTAATCCGTGGGCCCAACTCAAGGGATATGTCTTTATTCACCATCCGGTTGCCCTTCTTTCTTTCTCTCCCCTATCACTCTAGAGAAACATAAGAGAAAGCTGGTTGCCTGAAAGGCTGAAGTTAGAACCCAGAAAGCAGGGAATGTCTGTCTCCACTGTTTCTCTACTCTTCGCTGGCTTTTGGTAGAGCTGTGCTTCATAATTTGAATTAGGAACTCCAGTACCTTATTTGCTCTTCCTTGGCTAGAAGCATGGGCAAAATGCATGGGCGGCATGGTTATATTTTTAGAAACTGGTACTGTAGCTTCACACAGACTATATTTCTGCTATTTCTTTAGTTTGTCTAGATGAGCTCAGAACTGCCCGTTCCTTCCCCCACCCCCTTAAGTTTTCTAAATATCACACTTCCTTCCTTCCTCCCCCTGGCCTATGTGACTTTGAAGTTTACCCTGGAGGTGGCTGTAACTTTGTGTTGCTGATATAGCTTGGAAGCGTTTTCGGAGGATGTGAACCTGGTTGTCAACTCTGCTTAAAGTCCTGTTTCGGAAATCCTCCCTCATCCGGAGGCGTCTACTATTGGAAACTCCTCACTGCCAGAGACGCCCGGCTGGTTTTTATTTTCCCAGACATTTATTAAAATAAGAGAGAGCCCCTTGCCATTGCGTGTTTATGTGTGTGTGTGTCTCACAGGACTGCTGAAACACATACAAACACATCCTTAAACTTCATGCGCTCCATTGCTTAATATTCCTACTCCTCCCTAAGTGATAAGCATTTAAGTGAGCAGGAGGCTGATTTATCCTTAACAGAAGGAATTCCTATTTTATAGAAAACAAAAATAACAGAAGTACAGTCGAAACGGACTGAAAGAAAACAAAAAAGCTAATGAGGAATGGGCTGGGTGGTTGCTGTGAATCTACAATTCTCTAAATGGTCTATTCTGGGGGAAAAAAGGCCGAAATGTATGAGATTGCGCAGAGGATGGGTGGTTTGAAAATTCGGTCAAGCTCAGTTGTCAGAAAAAAACCTTCTTTGGGCGGGGTGTGGGCATCTCCAATGGACCTGTGCTTCCCAGGCAGACAAAGAGGTCTTTAGGAAGGTGATGAATGGGCGCGTGGGGGCTTCTGTGAGAGGCGGAGGCAGGGGCCTGGGGGTCGAAGCTCTTTGTTCCACTCTGGGCTGGTGGGCTCTAAGGATAAACCTGAATCTGGACAAAGCCTCCAAGCCTCGCCAGGACGCTGAGGGTTCAGGCCTTGGCTCGGGACCCTGGAGAGCCGGAGTGGGCGGGGCCTGTGAGGTAGGAGGGTGCGCCAGATGTCGCCCTTGCGCCCTCTCCGGGCTTCTATAAACCGTCCACAGTGTAAGGAGTGCACCCCGGGTCGCTCTGGGAGAGAAAGCGGACCTGGGACACTATAATTCAAGGGCAACATTTCTCCTGTGACCCTTTCCCAAACGCCGCCGGCCGGCGGACGCAGCCCAGGGCGCAGAGGAAGAGAAGGCGGGCAAGGGCGCGGCGGTTGGACTAGCCTGGTTGGGTTTTCGCTCGCACCCCTTTCGAACTAGGCTGCGGCTTCCTCCCAGCTCCTCTGAGAAAGCATGAGGCGGGCTCTAGAGTTAACCAAACAGGAAGAGAGGTGCATCGAGTCTGTCCCCCCTCCCGAGATCTGTCTGAAAAGGTGGAAGAATGAGTGAGAAGATGGGAGGAATCACCCTCCTTGTTTCCAAAAAAAAAAAAAAACTTTCACTACTCAGTCAGGAATCCGGCTCCTCCTCCTTTATTAAAGCCGGCAATTACAGTCCTGCGGGGCCAGGCCGAGTGCTGGCTGCTGGCGTTGCGCTTCTACCACTGCCCAGCAGCAACCTGGCTACAGCGTATGCTCCCGGCTCTTCTGGAGACCTTGGAGTTGGTGCTGCGGTAGTGCTGCGAGAGGGACAGCTAGTCCCCCTGAGCATTCTTTCCCTTTTCCCCCAGGGTGAAACGTTCAGTGGAAATAGTCTGTAATCCAAGCTCATAGTTTTATTTCAACTCCCAAATACTGTTTCTGGTGGGAAGAGTTGACTCACCAAACCATGTAATCATCTCATGACTCTAACCAAGCCATATGGAGAAGCCAGTTTTTAGACAGTAAACTAGAATGGAGGTTTGGCACCGGAGCCCGGGCCAGGACCAACATTCAAAAGTGAGGTAACAGAGGAAGACTCTGGCCTTTGGGGGGCACTGCGTGCCTTGTGGGTGGGAAGTAGGTTTAATTAAGGGTTTTCCACAGTCCTTGAATCTTAGAACATCCCTTTAGACTCACATTTAGTTTCCCTGTTAACGATTTTGCAGTTAACAGTTCCTTTATCTATTAAAATTCCCCATCACTGGGAGTCCCAACTAGAGCTAGTGTAGCATCGCTGTTCTTATATTCCATATTGACCCTTCGTTCTTTGCCAAAGGGAGAGAACACCAGCACAACTTTTCCACCAACCACCCTCATCTTCACATCTCCAGAGAAATACTAACAGCATGTTTTTTTTTGGTTTTTGTTTTTTAATTAAGAATTATTTGAGAACTGGTCAAATAATAATTATTGGGCATCTAAAACTGATAGTGCCTTCCACGCAAACCTGTTAAGTGCCTGGAATGGTGACTAGTTTAAAGTTTAACTCAAAGGGCAGTGAGTATTTAGTGGTCTATTCTTGACTGACCAAGTTCTTCTTAATGGGAGTAAAGACTCTTGCCTCACAACTGCCCTATAATTTCACTGACTCTGTGTGCTGTTTTTGGTATAATAGGAAATATGTTAACTTAGTGTCCTATAGATAAAATATGTGAATATGCTCATTTAATGAAATAATGTAAAAGTGTATCATAAACTTTAATATGTGGTACAAATATTCGTTTTGATTGTTATTTCTTAAAAAATGCTGTATGTTATTTCTCTGGTTGGCTGCAAACGGACCTTAAATTAACTTATTTTTCTCGTTCTCTAGAGATCACTCTGTTTTTCCTTTGGCTATGCACTTTAGCTTGTCTCAATAAGTTATCAACAGTATTAGTTCTAAAGCTTACGATGGACTTGACAGTGGAGATAACATTCATACTTAGAGTATTACCAGTATCAGCAGTTAGTTGCAGTTTATTTTAGGGTAGAACCACCCTTGTAAATCAGGAAATCCAGAATTTACACTTTACTTCACATGTCACATTTGGATTTCTACTAAAAACCATAAGCAGTAAGTTTGGGTAGAATATCTCATCTTTATTTTTAGTTGTTTGACCTTTAGGTAATAACAACACAAAATTACTTGCTGTTTTTGTTCAGGCTTAGTTTGATGCACATTCCTTTCTTTTAAATAACTTTTAAAATTTTCTATGAAGGTGGGAGTTTAACCTAGCCCCAAGGGAACACATTCATTCCAGAGCCAAGTCCTGAAGAGTTTTCAGCAGTTAAAGCAGGGCTTTGGGGACCTAATTTCATGAGATGAAATTAATTGTATTTAGTTATGTACTGCATCTCTAACAGAATAAATTGTGGTGATGCCTGGCAAGTCAAATTTCAAAGAAAAGACTTATTTGTAGATACTAGTACTGGACAATGTTTTGTTCCCTTAGACATAAGATTGCTATGAGTCAGAACCTCAACAACACCCAATAACACCACCAACTATCACAACTATTGTTGATTAGCCCCTGACACTAGTATCCCATAGATGACTTAGTGGATTTTTCATAGCTCCACAGAAGCAGGAGCACTTTGTAATATATTGCTTTATACTCTGTGCCTCCATGGATGTGTTTTGTTATTTTTCCTTTAGAAGTATATACTGAATATTGCTGTGGGTGGGCCTATGCAGGAAAAGTCTTTAGTGCAGCTGTTTAGAAGTCATATCCTATTTGGAATGAGAAACTGGTAGGGGGTAGTAACATCCTTCATTCCTTGCATTCACGGGAAGGAGAAGCCTTTTCTAAAACAGAATGCTACCAAGATCTCAAGTGAAAAATCCTTTGGGGCCCATTTAACTTTATACAAAGAAATTTGCTCTACAGCCTCAGATTGCGTGAACTCTGGCCCTCTTACATGTGAAGCTCATTAACTATAGGAAGGAGAAGTGTGCATAGTTGTAGCTACTTTTTTTCCAAGTTTTTTAGTGATAAAAGTCTGAAATTTGGCCTAACACCAGTTCAATGCAAACAATTCAAATGGTGTAGTAACATGGTAACATTTCATGTTATAGAACTGATTTAACCTTTTTAAATCACCTTTTTTTTTTAATCTTAAAGGTTCTGAAAAGAGTTCTTACACTAAGTAGACCATAGCAATCATTCTGCCATAAAAACATGTATCTGTATCCACATAAGTCAGTAAAGAAGTCTTCCACAAATGGAAAAAAAAAAAAAGCCAGCCCATGCATATTTTTACTTTTTCTATGACAGTTTATTAGTGGTAGAAATATTATTATAATCATAGAATATATGCTTAGAAAAAGATGGTATTTACAATTATTTAAAGAATGAAGATTGGAAAGATCCCCACCCCTAGAAAATTATGATACTTTGTGTTGACAATCTTGAAGGTGTATCTTCAAAAATGTGGTTAATGTCTTCCTATATCCACATTTTCATTCATATGCCCTTATTATCATTAGACATGTAATATAAAAATTGACTTCTTAGGCACTTAGTAGTAAATTGTACCCTATGTTTCCTTGTATCTTAAGTGACCTCTGTAAAATGACTATATTAGCCATGCATAGGCATGCAAATTTATCATTTTCATCAGTAGGATAGTTTAAAATATTAATTTTATAGAGTTTTAAATGTCACAGAGGATAGTTGCATATGATACTTTGAGCTGCTTCAAATATAAACCACATCTTTAAAATAGAATGTGAACGAAAATATCAAACTGTAAGCCTCCGATTACAGAATTCATCAAACAGCCAGTAGACAGACAAGATTTCTACTGATAGTAGGAGAGAACCTGCATGATAAACAGATTTAGACTTTGTAATGAGTAAAGAGTCATGTTACTCTTTAACTATGTTTTTGAGTTCCTAAGAAATTAATAAGTGACATGAAGAAATATATGTACATATTGAAGGGCAGTGGTTTTGTTTGTATGCCATAAACGAGTGGCATTTTGACTCTATGAGTCTATGTTCAGATCTATAAAACCTATTGCCATCAAGTTGATTCTGACCCACGAGAACTCCATGTGCAACAGAGTAAAACTGCCCCATAGGATTTTCTTGGCTGTAATCATTATAGAAGCAGATCGCCAGGATTTTCTCCTGAGGAGCCACTGGGTATGGTCGAACCGCCAACCTTTAGGTTAGCAGCTGGATCACAAACTGCTTGCACTACCCCGGGACCTTCACATCTACAAATTTCCAAAAAACAGTCTATTGAGCAGTGAATAGATTCAGCCATAAATGACCTAATGATATAAATGGTATTATAAGTATTTATCACCATCATCACTACCTGCCCCTAGTACCCCTGCTACCAACATGCCACATGGTAAACTAGCCCAACACTATTGGTTGGAAGGGGTAGCACAGTTAATTTTTCAATGCAGTAGCAAATAATAGAAATGGTTATTGAATAAGTTTTCTTCCCACTACAGCCCCTATCTCTTGACCTCCACCATCTCTCAGGGAAGCATCCTTATTGTTGAGATGCTTTGAGGCCAATGCAGTTTAAAAATTGGCACTCCAATAGTTAGTTTTAAATGACTTTCACCTACAGAGTCCCACTTAATCCTCACAAAGTCATTAAAAACCAAAAATCCATTGCCATCAAGTCGGTTCTGACTCATAGTAACCCTATAGGACAGAATAGAATAGCCCCATAGAGTTTCCAAGGAGCACCTGGTGGATTCAAACTGCCAACCGCAGCTGTAGCACTTAACCACTGTGCCACCAGGGTTTCCCACAAAGTTATTAGGTAATGTTATTGCCATTTTCAAGGTAAGGTGAGGTCACTATGGACTACAAAAAGCATATGACTTGTCGACGAACACATGGGCTAGTAAGTGGTAGTCTTATGAACATGCCTAGGCCACATAATATTCCAAAGTCTTCTTACTCCGAAACAAAAGCTCTTTCCATTATTCTTCAATGCCTTCTGGGAAAATAAAATTACAATCTTGGGTGTAACAAGTATACAGATGCACGGGAATTGACCAAACATCCTGTCTCTATTGTCTAACCAGGGAAGTGGAGGGGAGGGATGGCGTGAAGGGGGAACAAAGCTTTGATGAGATTTTTTTTTCTTTAAGTACCACAGAGGCCTTTTTTTTTTAAATATGAAAATGGTCTCATTTCCAAAAGCATAAGTGTAGGTGTTTATCCTGATACAGTTATATTCACTTCATCCTTATAACACCCTTCATCATGTTCATACCTCTCTCTCTAATATATAGACTAAGTTGTATCTGTAACTTTTCATCACTAATATAAATAAATTATCTTTTATGCTACTTAAACAAAATACTTCTTACTTTCACAACACTAGCTTAATTTTATTTGTTTGTTTCAGCGATGGTGAATTGTGTTTGAGTCGATCGCTCGTCAATAGCTCTGATAAAATTATTCGAAAGGCTGGCTCTTCAATCTTCCAGCACTCTGTAGAAGGTTGGAAAATTAATTCCTCTTTGGTCATGGAGATAAGGTGAGTTTCCTTAATAAGACATAATGAATTTCACATCATGTTCTCGAATGTGTTGGCTTGGCAAAATTATATTGAACACTTGATTTATAGTTTAAGTATGAATACTTTAATAAAAGAGTGAACCAACTCTGTTTAACATTGCTCACTGAAGGATGTGAATCCATAAAACTGAAACCATTATACAGTCAGAAATTTAACAATGAATATGCGAGTTTTGAATATACTGTCTTTGTGCTAATGGAATAAAATATTCAACAGAGTACTAATATTTAGCACACATTATTTTCTTAGTCAATTACTCAAGATGGACATATAATTTGAGAATTATCTTTAACTTCTTCCCTATTGATTCTTCATTCTGATCTTGTGTTTTCTCACACTAGATGAAAATAGAGCTTATACAGTTCCTATTTTTCTGACAATTATAAATAAATTTGGTGTATCCTATGGATGGGTATGTCTATGTGAGCTACTGTAGTAAAAATCTCAAGAATTACATCCTAAGTGGGTAAAAATAAGAAAATAAGCTTTTTAGAGCACTGTCATTTCTTTGTAGGATTTTGGCATTTGAAATGAAACATAAACTTATTAAATCAAACACAATGTCTACATATATCCATCCTGTCTCATGTTGTTCTATGCTAAACATATTAATAATAATAAAGTTAGTGTCAGACTTTCCTAACTATGGAGGAGGAAAGCAGATCATTTTTCTCTATAGTTAAATTGTTGTGTTGGTTATGTCTAAACCAGAGCAGCTTCAGTAAATCAAAACTCCTTAAAAGTCTGAGAAAATACATCTTGTACAAAATAAAATCATTGCATTATCCTAATATTGGAAAAATGCTAATTTTTTAGTGATTGGCTATTAACACACAGATTTTGTAAAAGTAGCTTAGTGGTTAAGAGTATAGGCTGGGGATACATTTGCCTGGATTTTCACCTACTCACTTGTATGTAGACCGAAAGCAACTTGAAGGGTCTATAGCACTCATGTTTAGATTATGCATAGTACTTTGTATAATGTGTTGTGCTGTAGGCACTCACTACGTAGTTAAATTTACTTGAAAGGATGTCTGGAAATTAAGAAGAAATGAGTGTCAGGAAATGCAGTAAATTTGACAACTTTATTTAAAAAAATTGGAAGTGACTAGAAAGGGAAACAGGAAATCAAACCATGGCAATGTCAAGTGGTGGATGTTGGGTTGCTTTTAGCTTAGGGGAGACTTTGTATATTTGTGGGTAAAGTACAAAAATGAGGAGATGAATAGAATCTTATGACAGAGTTTATAAATTGGTGTCATATGAATAGAATATGGCCAGCAAGATTTATTTCAGCTGGATAGAGGAAAACAAACAACAAACAAACCCAAATAAACCAACATTAAAAATCAAGAGATTTCTTATGAAAGTCCAGGTATTAATATACTCTTGAGAAATTGAAAGATTTGACAACCAGATGGGACTTCTCCCAAGCACTAGTTGGCTGAGTTTGACACTAGTCATGATCTGTCTAGTATGACATTTTTACACCTGAGACCCCCTTCTCTCATGTTACCTACCTAGCGTTTTCTTCTTTGCCTCAGACCTCCACCAACACATTTGAATTTAGGGACCTTGTAAGAGTTGAGATAATTATGAGGAAAAAGTGACAAAGTTCGGGACCAGATGGGGTCATAAACACAGGTTATCGTTTAGAATGGAGTATGTAGTCATATTTCTTGGAGTAGATTGGAAAGAGAGAAACATGGATAATTTTTTTAAAAGCGGAAAGTTTGATCCATAAGGATAAGCATTAAATTGAATAGTGTGGTAAGAAGGGAGCCAATTATGTAAGGCTGCACAGGTCAGGTAAAGGAAAGTAATGAAAGATAGTAAAGTAAAATAAGAATTGTAATACTTTAATATATCTAATATGCTGAATAATATATCAAATGTTAGAACTTATAAAAGTAAGTTTAATTAATACATCTTTAATTAATAGTTTAGTTAATACATCTTTCTGTGCCTTCCTGATATCTATACAAAAATGGATATGGATATATGTGTTGCTGTTTTTAAGATGAAATTCAAGCTAAGGATGTTGAACATAAATTGACCAAAACAATTCAGTATTGCAACTTTACAAATTAATGAGAATTATGTTCATATCTTTGAAAGTGATCTATTTTCAATTATAACTGCCAATGATATGAGTGAAATGTTAGTGCTATTTTTATATGGTTCTCCTTAACAAATAAAGAAGTAAACAATAAAAAATTGAGTAAATATTGAGTAATAAATACAATGTTGTCACTTCTTTGCAAGGAAGGAATAATTTTTAAAACTATTATTGTATCATGTGCAAACAGTTCAGAAAAATTATAATTGCCTGTAAGAGACAGTGACTAAAACCAAAAAACCTGTTGCCGTCAAGTTGATTCTGACTCATAGCAACCGTATAGGAGAGAGTAGAACTGCCCCATAGAGTTTCCAAGAAACGGCTGGTGAATTTGAACTGCTGACCTGCTGGTTAGCAGCCAAGCTCTTAACCACTGAGCCACCAGGATAATCAGTTTGACACCTGTAATAAAAAATTTAGAACATAAGAATGTCTGATTGTTGGCTTAGTTTTTGCTATATGTCTTTTTTTTTTTTTTTTAATCATACTGGGAACAAATCATGTAGTATTTTGGGCTATCATTGTTCTTTTTTGCTTCCTTCGTTTTAAGCATTTATGAAGAACCATATGCTTTGTGTCTGTGAGTGAGTATGCGTATATTTTACACGTTTCAAAAATTCAACTTTGGGATGTTTGATTAAGACATTATGACTAATCATTTTTAATCTTGTATGATTGAAACATGCTTACAATGTTTTCTTTTTTTTAATCTCATTAAACTTAAAATGCTCTTTGACATCCCTAATACATTATTTATCTATTTGCATTAAAATGTGAAACAGTCACTGAAGATAAATGGTTTTTTCCTACATTTGTAGATGTGATTTTCTTTCTTATTACTAATTCCTTCAGTTCTCTTCTCACTCCACTACTTTCATAAGTACACTGAGAAGTGATTCACATATATTCATCACACATCTGTAACTCTCGGGAGTTGTCTAAGAAAGATGGTTCCCTGTATTAGTTCATTGTACTTTGAAGATTCATCAAGATTTAGAGCAGAGTTTATGCATTTTTTTGCTAACTTCACAATTAATTAGCTTGGCTTTAAAGACTTGATTTTATTAATAGAACAAGTTTGAGTTTTACCACTGTAAACTGAAAAATGACACATTTAAGATGCATCGTAGGTTGTGAGTAAATCTGTGGACATTGTACTGAGAGATTAGTTGGTTACGCCCAACAGTTGTCACAACATTTTCTTTTCCATCTTTGGGTTATTTCTTTTCTTTCTTTTTTTCTCATTTTTCACGTCGAGTGGAAATCCAAAGAAGCAGAAACACCAAATATGGATATATAGAAATGTGTGAGTTCAGCTACTCATCAGGAGAGATTAATCACCTCATCATTAGTCAGAGAAAATATTTTCAACTCTTAGAATCACGATATATCAAACTTCTTAAACAGTCAAGATTTACAGATTAACTAAACATTACGGCAAATTTATATAATCTTACCTGTCAAAAAGAATTTTCTGTTTCATGTATAGATTTGCTCTACAAGGTCTACGTACGATTCTTATGCTATCTTCTACTTTAGTAAGTTACAAGTACAACAACAGTTAAACGCTCTGCTGTTAACTGAAAGATTGGTGGTTCGAAGCCACCCAGCAGCTCCATAGGAGAAAAGAACTGGAGATCTGCTCCTGTAAAGATTAAGCCTAGAAAATCTTAAGGGGAGTTCTCTTCTGTCACATGGGGTCACTATGAGTCAAAAATATATTCAACGGTACTTACCAAAAAACAGCTAAATCTGGGGTCATTCATCTTGTTACTGTCAGAAGCAATATTCAGTTCCTGGCCCGTGTGACCAGAGGGCCAGATCTCTTATTACTAAATGCACTTCTTGGAGTATTATATTTTAATACTAAAAATGCATACCATAAAATATATTTTTATGGAGTAAATTATATTTTTCTTTGCTCTAAAACAACAAAGTGTAAGATACTGTTCATCAAATATTACCAAATGTCAGGCCAAACATCAAATGGGGATCTGAAATGTAAAGTAAACTGAAAATACTTTCCTTCAAGTGTTTGGGGACAATTTTGCCTTTTCATATGGTTGTGATTGTTTAGGATTTTTCATTCAATAGTAGGATATCTTTCCTATAACAGATAAGACTGTAACTCAGAAGCCCTAAACAAGCTAGAGGTTATGTTCTTTTAGTGCTTAGAGGCAAGTTGCCTTGCAGAAATAATCTTTTGAGACAAAGTTTGTGTTTTCTATCTGACTTTTGTAGGAATAATGAAACACAGCATTTCTTAGTAAATTGTATCAGTATCAGTTGAATTGATAACAGTGATTTTTGTTAATTTCTAAGGCCTCATGCATTTATCTGATGGTTTGACATTATCAAAAAATAATGAGAGATGTATAATTGAGAGTTTGTGGTTTCAAATGAAAAAGAAGCCAACCACCATGTTTTTCTTTAAAGTGGTATGATTTTGTGACTATTTATTAATGTTATTTCAGTTATTTTGTTTGGCATTTATTGTAAAAATAAAGTTTAACATGGCAACTACTTATTGCAATATGTTTATTTTTAAACTAAATATTTTGTTAGCATTGTTATATTAAATTTATTTTATATGATTATGTTAGGATTGATGCTTCTTTATTTCTTTACACCTCAATTTTGCTTGACCACCAATGCTAGAATGAACTTGTCACCCAGATAGAAATCATGAGTAGAATAAGTCATTTTGAGGTATTTGCTAGGAAATCACAATTTAGAATAATGTATTTGTCTTACTCAAGAGAATTCCAAATGAATTTGCCAGAAGACAATGAAAAAAATGTGATTTAGGCTTGGTTTTCTCATGCTAGTAATTTATTCA